CTGTGCCTGCAAGACCTGTCTTGGACTGTATTCCTGTCGTCTAAATAAACCTTCTGCTTTACTGGCTGGCTGAGAGTCATGGTGAATCGCAGGAAGCCGGGGGTGCAGGACCTTGTGTCCCACCACAATCCATGACAGGAGGGAACCTTGACAACAACCATGGCTCAACCCTCCCAGCCCTCTCCTGAACTGGGTAAGTCTTGCCGACCCCTGGCACAGGGGCAGGGGGTCAGCAACCTGCCTGAGGCTGTGCAGCGATCGTACCAATTAAGAAATCCAAGCTGTCTGGGGCGCCCTTCCTCTCGGGCTGCATCAGTGTCCGCTGAGACTGGAAAAAATCCCGGCTTTTCAGCTCCGGGGCCACTTCTACCCACTGCTCGTTCGGAGACTTGCCCGGGCTGGCTGGAGGAGCAGCTGGAAGAGCATGGGAGAGAAAGGGGTCAAAGGCTGTGTGACCGTGAGCACTCAGAAAGGGATTCCCCCTCAAGGCATGCTGAACCAACCTAGAGACGGAGCTGCTCTGTGCCTGGGGCCAGGGGAATCCTGGACATGCCTAGGGCCAAGGGGGAGGAGCTGTTCTGTAACAGGCAGTGAGAAGCAGAGGGGCACTCCTCTACACATGTGCCACCCTGAGACCCACTGGAGCCAGCCCGTCCCAGGGAGGCAGCGATACCCTCTCAGCATGTGCCGTGGCAGACGTGGGAGCCGAGCAGTGCTGGGACACTGCCTCTTACAGAGATGGGGCCACGCTCGGCTTCTGTCGGACACAGAGTCTGCCCCCGGTGCAGCCATGTCCCTGCTGCGCTGGGAGAGGGAGCCTCCCTCACCTGTCTCCTCCGGAGCCCTGCTCTGGGGGTTGCTGAAGGCATTGTCGGGAAGGGCACACGGGAGTCTCTGCGTCTGGTCTTGGGCGGCTCTGTCCAAGCTCTGCTGCTGCAAAGAGACGCCAGTGAGGAGCCTGTGGACGAGCTGGCCAGACGCGCCAACCCAGATCCCCATGGGGGCAGCCAG